CTGTTAGAAGTAGGAGTTTGATTTAAAGTTGGATTGTCCTAACTTAGTCAAATGGAGTAAGGAGTCTCCTCTTGTAATCTCCTATTTAAGGAGCTGTGATTTGGGAATAAAGTATTCAGTTTCCAGTCAAGAGAAGAGTGAGGAGAGTTCGGGTGGTCTCTTGGACAAATCACCCATTCGGTTTTCTACAATAGGGTCTGCATGCAAGGGGAAGCAAGAGGTTCTCCCCGTGGACCGACCCGTGACGAGATCCTACGCCCGGGCCCATAACAGACTACAAAATTATTTCGTCTAATTATTAACATGTAGAAAAAACGACCTAGAAACGGGCCATTCTGGCCATTAGTTTCCAGGTCAACGATTTGACTATCCAATTTGAACGGATGGCCCATTCTGACAATAAAAATTAAAAATATTAAAAAAATAAAAAATGGACAAAAACCATTGAATGGGTTAACGGGCCAATGGTTCAATCACTCGGGTTAACGGGTCATTGACTGACTCAACGATTTTTGTTTAGGGACTGGGTTTGGAGTAAAATGGAACCAGTTGCCTGGACGGTTCTCAGGCCGAACGATGCTACTGTTTGGATCAATTGGGAATTCTCGATGTAAAACAAAGAACAACTATAAAATAAAACTCAGAACTATCACTGTATGACCATATTCTTTTATATGAAATGCTTTGCTAAAGGACTATTTAGAAAACAAGCACATGATGATCTTTTTCAAGTATTTATATGAATTTCAAGACTTGAATACAAGTTTCTATCTTTTTTAATATTACAAATATCAATGTTGCAATTCGATTTGAGTCCCTGCGCTCCACTAATTGATGATATAAAGTATAATAAATATTCTCAATATGCAGTTGGAGAGTCCAAATCCAGCCCCAATATATGGTTCCAACAACCAATTACAACGCCATTGCAATTGTGCAATGGGAACATCTTGCAATAAAAGCCAAAGGAGATGTTTCTGATGCACGGCTGCAATGTCGTTGTGACCAGTTGTTGGGACCCTGTGTTAGTACCTGATCCAAATTGACGGTTGGGTGATGAACATGGCCAGCGTTTCTCTTTTTTCAGATGTCCCGTTTCCCTAACAATAAGTCTTTTTAGCCTTTATCTAGATGACTCATGACCCCCAAATAGGGGAGTGAATGAATCAGTTTTGGGTTGGACCCATCCAAATTAAAATCATGTTGGACAAAATGGGCAGACCAATAAAACATATTGAATTGGAGCGGTCCAAGCTTAATGGCCCAAAATATTTATTGGATTAGATTGGACATAGTCTATCCATAATTGATTTATATTGGATTATGTCAGATTGAACCAATATTCAGTCCATTGATAGAATATAAGAATACAGAGGTTTCAATAGACCATGTTTGGATTGAAACAAATCTAAATAAAAACTAATTTGAACAGATCGGACAGTCCAGACATTGAATTGGACGGATCCAAAATGGTCCAAAACAAGGTTCATAAATACCAATACACACGGTGTATCAGTACTCAGTACTTAAAACCATGTGCTTTTTAATTTTTTTTTTCATAATTTGATATATATATATATATATATATATATATATATATATATTCATTAAAAAAGTTCCCTAAAACACCTGTAAACAGATATTTTTGGATCAAAATATACTATACAATACATCCAATACAGGGCATATCGTATCAACATTTGAACTTTGGTCCAAAATTCATCATATTGGACTGGAACTCGTCCATTTGTAATAGACTCATATTAGACTGGATCGGACCGGACCAATGACACCCCTACTCCCGACAAAAGCTTTCTGAAGTCCATCTTACCAGGGAACTGTTTTCTGATCACATTGATTCGTTCCCCTGATTCTGGTCGGCACCATGATGTTCTGTATGACAAAGGGCAGTCAGCCCCACCAGTGAATCCCATATAGATCTGCTGGTCGACTGTTGGCCTTGTGGGGCAATTTTGGACCATTAAAAATCTGAAGTGAGCTCAGATTGTCATAGGGCAATGATACAGCTGAGCTGGCTATCGAAAAAAAATATCAAAAAAACTCAAATTCAGGTAAAACAAGGACGTTATAACCTCTAAAGAAAGTAAAGGCCAGACAGTGAGGCTCTCGATCAAGGAATTCCATGATATTGAAGGAGAGATGCTAGCAAGATATTTGAATAGAACTGGCAATAGTTGTGCAACAAGTCAGCAACCGAGGCAAAGAAGGCAAAAGAACACTGGCGTTCAACAAAATTCTTTGTTAATAAGAATTTCTTTGGATTTCTCTGGTGGTGGTGGGTCCTTCAGTCGTATAAGGAGGCGAGCTTCTGCATCACTCAGCTGTAACGGGTGCTTTCTCTTTTCTTATCATTTTATCCTTTCATTTTGCATAGCGGGTTCCTCCTTTTGGACATACACTTTATACTGACCGAAAGGCATTACCCAATGTTGGTTCCAGGCTTCTAGCTATCTGGGTTTTGGGAAGTGTAGGGGTAGATACAGACCTAACTTTTGGTTTTTTTTTTACACCCCACAAAGTGGCCACTTGGTCTGAAATCCTTGTTCTCACACTAGTCAACCTGAGACAGTAAACGCACTAAATAACACACAGCTCAGCTCAGGTGGTGGTAGGTAGCAACCCTCATCATCATTCATATGGCAAGTTCTGGCTTCATAATACCATATTACATGGCAAAAAAAGCTCTCTTTTCACTTATTTATTTAGGCTAATATTTGATTGTGTAAAATGAAGTAAAATGAATGGTTTCCTTAGAAAATGAAGGAGAATGCAATTCTTTGTTGAGAAAACGATCTATGCAAAATTAGAAAGAATGCTATTCCATATAGTTAGTACCCACTGTTTGAAAATAATTGTTTTCCATTGCCATTGCAACCAAACATCATTAAATGGCAATATTCAGGGAAACATTTGTTTTCTTTCATCTGTACAATTAAACAGAGGAAAAAGAAAATTTGAGGTCATATTTGCATTGGAAAAAAAAAAGAAAGAAAGAAGCATGCTTATATAGAGGCTGTGGACAAGAACACCAAGAAACTAAAAATTGTTAATCTAAATGACAGATTTTATGTGATTTAAATTAGGCCAATTTATCCATGTAATCCTGATTTTCTTAATTTCTTGATATAATCCTGATTAAGTACTCATACTCAGAATCTCGTATTTTTTTTTTTTTTTTGGTATTTAAGAATCTCATATCTCACTCTGTAAATTGTAGCCTCAATCATTTACTGTCAATTTCATCCATTATATAAGATGGATCTAAGCTTGAAAACATGTTGCAGGAATCCCCGAGCTATGAACAATTTGAAATGCAAGTGCGAACATCATTGTCATAATACAAGTTATAAGCAACATAAAAATCTGAAGATTGGAAATAATAGGTTGCCATAATCACCATCCAAAGGGGGAGAGAATATGCGGTAAAGACTAACAATTCAATTCACGATGAACTTCACTTTATTACTGTAATAATTCAATCCTGGGCAAGCAAGGAAACAATAAATAATTGCTCCCCTACAAGGGAAGTTAAGAACAAAAGATGATCCAAGTCCCTGCAAGCGAACAGCTTACTTAAGTATTATCTAAGGGCTAAAACATTTACACATGGACTCAACATTTCTCATCTCAATGTGCTCTACTAGGGCCCCTTTAACCTTTGCATTACATATAGGACACTGTTTAACATAAAAGATGTAATTTATGTACATGAAGCCTTTTCCGTTCACCTTCACATCTATATGGACTTTGGGCAAATGGTGTGTTGTATACTTAAACAACTTCACCCCGTGCCAAAATTGAAGCCAATGACCCTCAAGACATTCAAGGTGTACACTTGAAGTTAGAATGCCTGAATAACTGGTATTTATATGTATATGCCAAAGAGTAATAAATATAAGCGCTTCTTTATTTGATCGACTTTACATATTGCTACCTCTCAACTGCAGATGGCCTCAACCGAGAGCTTCTTCATGGTACTTGGGCATGGATCCCCACCAAAAACTTCAGGAGCAACAGTTACCGAGCACGTTTGCTGCCCAATGCAGTTCTGCAAGAGATCCTCCTGTGTTAAATTTTCTGAAAAACATTAGAAGAAAAAAGAAACAATGATATGCAACAAAATGTGGACCAGACTTGGGCAGACAGATCAGCTGAACATTGGCAACAGCTGTTCAAATATCTGTTCAACCCATAATGTCCCCAAAGGTTGGATACTTGTCCCCAGTAATAGACTGGTTACAAAATCTTGAAAACTCCACTTGGTGAGTTTGTAACTGAATTTTATCCACAAAATAACCATCAGTATTGCTTAATAACCTGATCTTTCCAACTCAGTAGGCCAGAAGGGCTTTAACTGAGCTGAGGCATGAGGGGACTCACCGATTTGCTAATAGTCAAAAAGATACTGTAAGATGGATATGGGATTTTAATCATTTTACCCTTTGAAAAGCATCATATGATTTGTGAGCATGACAGCTTCCTTCCTGAAAGCTTCCGCATACTCCTTGTGGTGTTCCAAAGCTAGCGAACTTTATTGATGAAATTTTGGTTCCAGGTGAGCACCAAAGATGGGCTTTCGGCCTTAGAGGTCTTTGGACTTTTCCAGAGGATTGCAACTCCCAATTTGTCAGTGTCGGCTGCCATTCATAAATATCAGCACAGACACTTTGTACAGTTCTTTTATCCAAAGAAATCCAATTTGGATAACCACCCCATTCTTCAAAAATAACCAATTGGTTCCCAGTTGGCCTCAACCATGAGCGTGGGACATGATACCTGAAATTAGCAGTTTCTTATAAGTTGGTCATGAATTAATGTTGTAAGATGCAGATTATACTTTTTTAGAATGTTGCCCTACCATCTTTGGGATGCCTCTCCGCAATTACTTCGGCATTTTTTCTCATCATATGTTCCAGCATAATTACAGCCACCACAAGAACCATAAGCTTTATATGCAGGCCAGTAGCGACCAATGCTTTCACCATTTATCCATATTTGACCTTTGCCCATACTCCCCATATCTAAAGCCAATGGCTCATTCCCACCTGGTGCGTTGAATGTAGTCTGGACACATTACCAAAATAAAGGATGCCTTAGTGAATGAAAGCCAGCCATTAAACTTCATATTATAAACTAGAATATCAGTCACCTGGTGCATAGACAACTATTGATTGCACCAGCAAGGAGTGACTTGGTGTCTTACTCCAAAAAGAAAAAAAAAAAAAAAAACAAGATTTGGAAAAGGTAGAAGGCTGTAAAAGAGTTAGAGAAAGACCAAACAAAACATGATCTAAAGTGGCAAAATATAATCTAAGAACTTGCAACTTGATGGAAATCATGGCTCTTAATAGAGTATAATGGAGGAATAGGATTTGTGTTGCTAACTCCAAATAGTTGGAATTAAGGCTGGGTTGAGTTGGGATTATATCAGAAGAGTACTATTAGAGTCCTTAATTGAGGTTCAGTCCTCACCTTATACCATGTCATAGGCTGCTTTTGAGCCACTGAAGACACCTCCCACTCAACAGAAGAACTTCCACTTAGTGATTGGATGCCCACAGTTTCACCCTTTAAACCAATCTGCATAGGAGCATCCAAAGGAATTACTCTCTCTATAGCACGGTTGCAAGAGGATGTATACAGCGGAGATTATTGGAAAACAAACCTTGTAAGACCATTTCTGCCATGACAAGTCTCTTTGCCCCTCATTAAGGCCCTTCAAGGTTATTGGACCAAGTACTCCAGCATTCCAAGTCTCAAAATGTGGGCCAACATTCTGAACTCAATGACATGCAACAGAGAATTTAGATTAGTCAAATTTGCTTGAATTCACAGAGTTGCAAGAACATATACAGAATGTGCAAGAACAAACCGGGAGGCCAACAGCTATGCTTAACAGAGAGATTTTGTTAATGCCAGCAATCAGCTTCACTTTGTCACTGAATGTCAATTTTGGATTCTCTAAACTTCCATACACAGTTCCTGACAGAGGCAATGGCTAATTGTTAAAAACAAGATAGAAGGAAGAAAAAAAAGGAATTGGATGAACTACAAAGAATATGGCAAAGTAGTTTGCATACTTCCATCAAATGTCACCACTGCATGCCTACCTGATAACTGACCATTGATGAAAACATGCAGAGCATGGCCTGCCGATAAAACAGTGAGGACAGGATACTGTCCATTCCTCAAAAATGCTTCATTGGGATCAATCTTAACACTGCACAGAAGGAATAATATGAATAAACAATTAGGAACTAGGCAGGAATATCATCACCATCATCATCATAACAATGATAAAAAAGACACTAATAACAACAATATTAATAATAATCACAATAATCAAGGTTCAAAGTATCAATGCCCTGTATCAGGTGTATCATATTGTATCTTGGGGTCACTGAAACAGCATATAATGGGGGTTGGGGATTTGAATGTTCTAAAATGTTGGAACATGATGTGATAGGACCCTGTTGATACTTTGAACCATGACATCAACATCAACATGGTTCACCAATCCCTGCTGTTGATGATGATCATCAACATCATCTAAGCATTATCCCAACTATATGGAGTCAACTACAAGAATCCTTTTTCACCAATCCCTGCTGTTTAATGTCATGTACATTATTAAATTTGAGCACTTAAATCATTTATTGCTACTTTGACCCATGTCCTTTTCTATTATTATTTCTACACTAATGGAAATAATAGTAGGATGATGATGGAGGTGACTTTTGATGGCATATCTAATTTTGTTTTGACAATGTCTTAAAGAAGGTAGTGCCATGATAGATTGAGTACTCACTCTGTCATGTACCACAAATAATCTGAGGCATCTCTTGTGACATTTATCTGTTCCAGCAATCCAACTGTTGTAAATGAGTTGTCATCGTAAGAGGCAGTCTCTTCATTGTATGACTGCCAAGAGAACCCTCTATAAACGGGAGTCATTTTCATCTGTGAGCTTTGAGCACCAACCTATACAGAGATTGAATCCAATGTCAAAAGCCTTCTTATTAGGAATTTTTCAATAAAGAAAATCCATAGGAGGTTTTAAGAAGCATTTTAAATGTTATTCAGTATTACTTGGGGAAATATATCAAGACAATGGAAAAAGAAAAGGAAAATAGATGTTGAAAGTTTTTGATATCATCATTACACTATGCATAGCAATGTCTCACAAAGAACATCACCACATATTTCTTTTGAAGTTTTTGTTCCAGATTTAAAAAATTACACTGTGTTCTTGCAAAAAGAAATTAAAGTTCATTATCTTGTAAAAACTCAAAGTTCAGAGACAAAGGTTTAGGTAAACATCAGACACTCTTACAGATGCTACTTGAAATAAATACATGAGTATCAGCTTAGTAAGAGTTTTTTCCTCACCCTTGCAGTATTGAAAACTGTATTTTTGCAGTCAGGAAGGATGCTAATTGACCATGGAGGCAAGTTGTAGTGCATATTCCCAAAAGCCACTGTTGCATAAGACCTTGAATCATAGTTTGCAAGGAATGCAGCACAAGCTCCTGATCTTGACTTGAAGACATGAGCCTGGATATAAAGCAGGCAGTTTTTATTTGGGGCTTGAGGTTGGTTAAAAGGTATTAATTCCAAGATCAATGCAGATGCTGCAAATTGAGAAAAAGGCCAAAAGAGATGGTATGTAAAAGAACTTTATAGAGCAGAAGTAAACTTACCTCTTGATTATTTCCCAGTGATATCACAGTGGGATCTGTAGAAACCAAAGCTGGTTCGCACAACTTGATTGCTTTATGTAGGTCTCTCAAATGACCATATTTAGGTTCCCTGAGTAGTCCTACAAGTAAAATGGAGGATCTGGTAAGACTGACCTGGAATATATTATTATTTCCAGAGATTAACTGGAGTTGGCTAATAAATGAACTCTGCTAATAAGTTGGATTAACGCTTTAGAGAGAATATGTTCCTGTTAAAATATGCAAATTTAAAGTTCAAGATGAAGGCGGGCAAGTTCTCTGGAGCTGTAAGAAATTATATACAGAAGGCAGGAAAATTGCTGGAATAGTCAAAATATGAGATTACTATAGACCATTCCAAACAGTCTATAGTAGCCAATCCTACATGTGAAGCAGCTAATAACTAATAAGTAATAGAGGGGGACCCACATACTATGTGAATCTGCTACACGAAAAGTTGCATCAGCTAGGAATAACGTAACCATCTTATTTATCATTCTTCAGACAGATGGAATATAATAATCCATCTGAAAATATCAACAGAAACAATGTTCTCATAATCTGGTTGTGCCACCAAAAGGTTTTTAGTTTTATCTCCCAATAGTTATCTCCCTGCTCTTTACACATGCCAGAGCATAGTTACCTGATTATTTTGCATTCAAAATTTGTATTTCACAACCCTTCAGTGAACCAGGTTCACTAGTGGTGGATTCTATTTTTATTCCTTGATTGCAGTGCAGAGTTATTGGTAAGGTGTCATACACAGTATAATTTGTTTTTTGGTATCACAAGTATGGTGTATCTCGTTACATGAACATGGTAGACAAATTATAAATGAAAAAAAAAAGTTTTTGAATGAAACAGAAAGTTTTGTTTTGCATGTCTGAGACAAGTTGATAGTATAAAAGCAAAGGAAGCTTTTTAATTCCTATTTTTCCAAGGTTATGTTGTTTTCCTTAACAACATATCTAATAGTACTTTTTTCTGTAAATTGTCAAATTAGTAGGTTTCTTTAAAATACCAATATTTTGGTCATATATTTCTTTAAGATAGTGGATTGTCTGATATATGCTGGGCTCTTTTTTTATTGGCTGAATTAATGTGAACTGATTTGCAAATCACAAATTAGGTAACTATGTGCCAGAGAAATGGCCATTACTCTTGTACTTGGTGCATGGCTATTGGGTTCAAGAATGTACACCACTTCTAACACTGCAAATCTTAAGAACGTACCATATTCATCAAGTGGAGCATCATAGTCATAGCTAGTGGATATGAAGGGACCACCAGCTGTCCGGCCAAAATTCGTTCCTCCATGGTACTGGAGCACAAAATTAAAACAGAAACAGCTTCAGTTGAATTGATTCTGGAATTGCCATGTACCAGTTTGATATGAACTACTTGGTATAAACAAAATTCAGATAAGGTCCCAACAGCCTTTGCAGTCGTGCATTGGGAACATCTCCCTTGTCTTCCACGGCAAGATGTTCCCAATGTGTAGCTGAAATAGCTGTTGGGACCCTTATTGGGACTACATCCAGTCTCATATAAACAAGAAACACTAGAACATACCATGTAATAATTGACAAATGATCCACCTTTCTGTATAAACTTGGCAACTGAAAATGCTAAATCTTCAGCTGGTCGATGAGGAACTGGACCACCAAACTCTGTGTACCTAGGGGTTGAAACATAGATATAGTTAAGCTAAAATGCATTTTATAATATAAAATGAGGTCTACACTCTTAAATCGATGTTCAAAGAAACAGAAAAATAGCATGCAGTATTGATTTCGGAGTCACGAGTAGACACAATTTACCAGCCAGTCCAGGCTTCCGTCCACATTTTTGGTTTATAGGCTTTGTTAGGAGTGAACCAATCACAGTAGAAACCATTGCAGGCGTTTATCTGTTGCAGGATGGGCAAAAAAATTAAAGGAAGCAGAAGGGATCATATACATGACACTCCTAAAAGTTTTGGTTGCTCAGGACAATAATAATAAGACAACCTCTCAAATATCACACATACATATGAAATCCAATAGTTGACAAATTCAACCGGAATGAAGGAGAAATAGATTACTTAAACAATCTGATCAAATATATTCTTCTTTTTCCTTTTCATCTGGGAGTGTCAACAAAAGAAATTAAGAACATACAAAGCCGTTCCACAGGAAATTAAGAGCAAAAAAGTATAACAGATACACTCAGAGAACACAGACTAACTATCTGAGGTATGTGCTAACGAAAACAAAATTCTTCTCATGTTGAATCATGTCCACTCAAGTAGGAAACTCCACTAAGAAAGGAAGAGCATGTTACATGAGAAGAGCCCAAGAACGATTTTAGGAAAATGACAAGAAGGTAAAAAAGGAAGAGTTAAAAAATAAAAGAAAGTAAAAAGAAAGAAATGCAGAAGCGCTTACAACTGGATCAGGAGCATCATCTTGCTTGCACATGACCCATGGAACTCCAGTGCCAAGACCAACGGCCATTTGTGCTGCCCATTTAGTATAAGCTCGTCCAGGAGCACCAATTTCCCACTCAACTGGTCCATATTCATTCTCTATCTGCGAGGGGAATTCGGGGAGGATCACTCATCAGTTCTGATTCACTTAAACATTCTTTTCAGTGAGTTGCGATTTTAAATTTTAAATTTTCCGTTCATTTAAGATTCTACACGGAAATAAGTTCAGTTCTGGAAACAATGGAGGTGGTCATAATGGGTTACTCCAGTTATCTATCGGTTTACCTGTGACAGAATTATCGGACCACCCTGAGACTGAAATAATCTTTCTGCTTTCATCATGTCTACGATCTTTTTCGTAAATCCTTGCATTGCCGCCTTTATTGTAATCAATTGTAGTCATCAAGAAGTCAAAACCAAAGGAGAATCAATCAATATAATCGTATAAAGGAACTCCGGAAAAAAGAAAAGAATTTGACAGGGAAATTGGAAGGTGCAAGGAAAGAACCCAAGTATCCAACCTTGAAAGGCTGGTTGTCTGTTCTGAAACTGATACCCGGAACGTATTTCAGCCAAACAGGGAAACCCCTGAAATGAAAAACAAAATAGACTGCTTAACATTTCAGAGACCACTTGCATTTTTACAAAAGACGTTAGAGTGGGAAACTAAAACAGTTTTTCGCTATTTTGTCATTTTAATACTTTTCTTATTACCCGAAATTCCATTCGGCGCAAACATAGGGGCCAATTCGGAGATGAACATAAAGGCCTGCCTGCTGAACCAGCTTGATAAATCGAACCAAATCGTACCTTCCCTCAAAATAATACTACAAACAAATTTGAAGAAAATTAATGTTTCTATACAAAAAATAATTCTTACATAATGAAAAAAATCAAATAAAGATTGGAGCATTGACATTACTTTGCCTGGGGAAGGTTCATGGCCATTCCAGAAAACGTAGGTTTGAATAACATCCAAACCTCCATCTTTGGCCTTCTGAATAAGATCCGGCCACATCTGCAACCAGCCCAAAAGAAAAATGCAACCAAATAAAATCATTAAAAACAACCCAAAAATCAAATAAAGAGAAAAGTTGAAAAAAAAATACAGAGCTACCCATTAAACTGGATAGCTACAACTATAAAGCGGGACGAAGCTGCAGCAAAAACACACACGCGCACAGACACCCATTAGCCACATTTGCGTTAATACCTCAGGAGTGCTTCGTGGGTAGTGAATAGATCCCGAAATAAGGATCCTCCTCTTCCCATTGATGACTATGGCTTTCTGGTCGTAAGTTACAGAAGCTGTAACAGACGAAAACCATGAAAACAGGAAGAGAAACAACAACGTGCTGGTTCCCAACACGTTCCACGTTACAAGTCTGGATCCCATGGCGTCTGCTTCTCAAAGCAAGGGATTTTTGTTATTCTTCCTTTCCACTTTGTTCTTCTTTTTCTTTCTTATGTTAGAAAGAGAGGGAGAAGAACCGCGGGAAAAGAAAATAAAACAAGAGTGAAAAACAGCTGTTCTGTTTTTCTTCTCTTCTTTTACACCACTTTCTTCTTTTGAGAAGAAAGAAAACGAAAAAAAATTACGTCTAAGAAGAGAGACAGAGACAAGTAATGCAGAATTCTAATGCCGAGTTGGCTTGCAAATCGAGAAGCCTTGGGCTGGCTTTATACAAATGGAACCGAGGGGCCTGAAAAGGACAGAGGGACCCCGCTTTTCTGCCTGACCCCATTTCTGACTCGGAGCTTCATCCAATTAGTTTTATTTTTTTCTTTTTTATTTTCTGTTTGTTCAGCTCTTTTTGTTCTCCTTTCTTTTGGTAATTGAATAACAATGGTGAAAGTATTAATCGTAATAAAAAGTCATTAAGACAGTAGTTCAGTTAACAAAAGTGCTCATAAGCTTCTTAATACAGTAGTTTATTATTTTTTCTGATACGAGAGATTCCATGCTCAGTCCTATATGGTCGGTTTCTAGTCTCTGAACTCTTCTATACTTTTATTGTCCCACATTGAATGTTGTTTACCTACGCACGAGCAGACTCGAGTATTAAAATACTATGTCACGGGTTAACAGTCTCACACCGGCCCTCACCTCACTGTACCAATCAAAGTGAGAAAAATACCATAAAATAATCAACAAAGGAACAGGGTCAGAGGGTCTCTCTCTCTGTTCTCCTGGTGTGATGAAGCCATTTCGAGACCTGAATAACCCTGTTTTCCGGTCTCATTATTGACCTGTATCCCCTTTAGTTTGCAAAATCTATACAATAACTATGCTTGTATGGATCTTCACTGGAATTCTAGAATTAGCAGGATGGGTTTAATGGCTGAGCAGAGTTTGGATACAGGGAGAGAAATTTCAAAGGTAAAAAAATCGATTTTGATATGGGTGAGAAAAAAATGGAAGGTGACTTAGCAATCGGAACCAAATTAGGGGAGAGGAAATGAAATTGAATGCTGACTACAAAGTACCTGCCCACGGTAGGTGTTGTTTGGCTTTTTTACTTTGATGTATATTAATTGTTCGACGAGGAAATCAGTTTGAGTTCGAGACTTTTAATACATATCACGTGCAGAAGCAAAAGCAAACACGAGCAGTAGAGACCATTCTGAGAGAAAAAAATTAGGTGTTGATGGGGTTGTTTTTGTTTTAATTTCCACTGCCGAATCCCTTTTTCCTAATATACACCAAACTGGTTCATTTTGGTACAATTGGCGATTCTTCCCATTTTACCTTGATTGGTTCCATCGATTTGGTTCACAATTGACCATGTTTTTTATGGGACTCGGTGAGGATAATCCTAATTTAATAGTCGTTTGGGAGGGCTTATTGAATAAATAAGTGCTTATTATAGGATAAGTGTTTATCCTAAGGTGTTTGGTGAAAAAACACTTACTTTCAAATGGAGTAGTATAGGTATTTTGAAATCTATGTGGCGGGCCAAGACAGGCCAGAAACTCAATAAGCACTTAAAAAAAAAACGCATTTCAAAGAAAGGGCAAATTTTTTACTTTATTCAAAATTAGCTTATTTCTTGAAAAAATAATTATTCAGGCTTATTTCCTAAACATATATATAGGGATGCAAACGGATTGGATCGGATTTCGAATCAAGCTATATTCGAATTTGATCTGACACTCTTTATGTTGGATCCAATTGGATCTGATAGGACTCGATTTGAATTTGTATTCTATTGGTAAGTCGGGTCTTTTAATTTGATATGATTCAACTTGTTTTCTTTAAAAATTAATAAATTATTAAAAGAAAAATAAAATATACTAATTTAAAAAAGTAAAAATAAAAAATACAAGTATTTTTTAATTATTTTCATCATATATATACATGTTTTTTATAAAAAAAATATTAATATAACAAATTTATAAAAATATAAATAAATAAATAAATAACATATATATGCATTACATATATTTATATTTATAAATATATACTATATCCGGATCGGATCCATGGTTTTTAAAAATGAACCGGTCAGGGGTCCGGTTATCGGTTCGAATGGTCCGACCGTTCGACCCGAACGATCGGCTCGTTCTAACAAAAAATTAAAAAAATTGGAAAACGGTCAAAACCGTTTGAACAGTTAACTAGTCGGTTCAACGGTTTTGGGGGAAAAGTGGTTTTGGAGGAAAACGGGACCGGTTCCCGATTTTTCCAGTCCGGTCTAGTTTTGAAAATAGTGATCAGATCTTCTCGAATCAAATAAGGGTGACCCGAATCCGATCCAATTTCTGACCAAGTTCTATTATCCGATTCGAAGATCCAGTCAGGGGTGATCTGAATTCGACCAAATAGGATCAGATCTCAGATTGGATCAGATCATCATCCGATCCATTTGCACCCCTACATATATAAGTGCTTATTGGTATACTCCTAGCCTAAAATAAGTGCTTAAAAATAAGCACCCTAAGCAAGAACTTAGCCACTTGATTTACAAATATCTTTCACAATTGGCATTAGAGCAATGTTTGTTTGCAATAAAAGTTTGAGTTGGATGCAAATTTTGCACCGAGTTCAGATATGTATTTTCATTTTTGTGCTATCCTGACCAGGTTTGGGCCACACAACAAAAGTAGCCCTCCCCCTTTTGGGGTGTCAGTTGGACTGGATTTGGTCCAATCCGATCCAGTCCAATGTGAGTCCATTATAAATGGATCAAGTCCAATCCAATCTAATGAATGTTTTGGACCAATTTGGACTGGTCCAATTCAATGTTTGGACCGTCCAATCTGTTCAAATTTATTTTGATTTAGATTGGTTTCAACTTTCAACCCAAGCCCGGTCCATTGACACATATATTCTTATCTTATATCAATGGACCAGATATTGGCTTAATCCAACCCAATCCAATATAGCTTTGTTACGGATGGACCAGGTCCAATCCAATCTAATAAATATATTGGACCGGATTGGTCCAATCCAATATATCTTATTAGTCCGTCCAATCCCATCCAAATTGATTTTGGACTGGACGGGGTCCAATCCAAAACCGGTTCATTGACACCCTTACTCCCCTTGATTTACATGAGTTTGTTTGTAAGCTGTAACTATAATTTGCAATCTTACCTGATGCAGATTTTGCACTTGACAGTGCAAATTTTGCATCTTCTTCCTATTTTGATTTCCTCTTCTGTAAAGTGACGACTTAATTTGTTGTGCTACTTCCTTATATTACTCCTCTTTAACAATCTTCTTTCTGCTTTCATCTTTTTCATACCAAATGGGGGACCATATTATTCTACTTCCAATCTTACTCATTACAAACGAACAAAAACCTGAAACAATAAAGTAAATTAGAATCTACACTCTGCAAATAAATGGAGCCTACACTAAAATATTCTGTCTAGCTAATTTGCTCCATGTGCTTGTACCCTTTTTTTTATTCTGAGTGACGACCTTAATTAGGGTGAATGATCCATCTAACTCAAGAACACACCGAAATATATATCATCATCATCCGAAAATAATGTGGACAGAGGTTAAGATGTGAGATTATCTGTTCATGTCATGATCATGCGCGTAGCATGTAGATCATTTAATAAATTTTCGTATTTGAAGTTTTTAATTATCTGCAATTAACTATGATATATGAACAAATGACTGGGAACTCATTCTAGAAACCATGAATTGTTTTTGCAGAACATTTGAGATAAACAAATCATGAGGGAGACCATTTGGGCTTAATTAAATGATACAAAAGGATAAATTAATCTGTAATTTTTGTCACTAAATAACAGAAGTAGTTCATTGATTTTATATTTTAGGTTGTCAGTCTAATCGTTCTAGATTTGATTAATGGATGTTGTAATAGTAAGTTAATTTATTACTTGATTCTTTGTATCTTTTCCAATAGATAATTCAGAATCTTGGTGACTCAATGAGTCAATACATGATTTACCAAAAAATAAAAGGAGTGAATACATGCAGAATCCACCCTTCAATGTTATATGCATGGTTTTTAAAACCGACCCGGAGACCGAATCGGTCAGGGGTCTGGTTATTGGGTCGAACGGTCCGATCGTTCGAATTGAACGTTCAGCTCGTTCTCACAATAAAATAAAAAAAAATAAAAAACAGTTAGAACCGTTCAAATGGTTCAAATGATTAATTATCCGGTTCAACAATTCGCTAACCAAAATCAACAGTTTTGGAGGAAAATCCGGTTTTTAGGAAAAATGAAATCGATTCTCGATTTTTCTAGTCCGATTTTGAAAACCATGGTATATGTAACAAACATGGAGTGAGTGAGGATTTAACATTGGGTTATGGGTCAGATTCAATACCAACTGACCTCTTATCAACTCATCCTAAACTAATTATTTGATTAGTTGGTAAAAGCTACAAGCTGTTGATATCAATCAAATTATCCTACCTGTACTCTCTTTCTCTCTCTCTAGATCTCTCTCTCAATAATGCATGGCCTCATGTTGCATGTCATGATTTGAATAGTAATATGGGAAATGGGAATCCTCTCACTTTCAGAAATCAAAAAAAGGAATAGATGGTTTACTTGCCGGGAGGAGAAAGAGAGGAAAAGCAAAAAAACAAAAAGCTTAATAGGATCTGGTTGTAGTTCTATTAGGAAACCCATAAACAAAGCAAAGAAAAGCTTGCATGCACTTCTCGTTCACTGTCCATGATTAAAATCCACCAACCTTTCTGGGTCTCCAAGTTTTCTGTATCTGTATTCACACATTATTGCAAATATTCAACAATATTAATGGGATTGATAACCCAGATACCTGAAAAAATAAAATCTGAGTTGAATGTTAAAGCTCAGCCCCCACCAAATCACCGATACTAAATGAACTCTAAATAGGAAAAACACAGAAAGGGTTGAATACAGGAAATAGCAAATGCTCGATCGTGTGAATTAAATATGACTATGAAAGTCTACTACAGTTGGCTGTGTTGATGATAGAACTCGGGAAATGAAATTATTGAAGAAAAAGACGGATCTGGGACACGG